TTGCCTGAGCATCTGGTCTCAATAACGAAGGCCCCATGTACCTGCATGAAACAAATTTGTGTCCCAATAACTTTTTCAGGGAAAACTCCTTAGTCTATGTGGTTTTTAGACTGAGAGGGATCCTTCTTGCAATACCATCCATCTATATGAGCATTGCATGTGAAAGCACGTGGAGGGTGTCCAGTGACATGTAATGCTTTCATTTTTATTTATTTCTGTTGTTAGGCTATGCTGCCTGAGAGCTTTCATGCCCTGGCTGCCTGAAAAGGGTCTGCACAGTGAGGAGGACAATCTTTCAGGTAAAGTAGTTCTCCCAGTTAGAAATGAGGAGTCCCTGACTATCACAGAAGATAGCCAGGGTCATCTTTGGGAGTGATGCCAGGTTGAATTTGGACTAGTTTACTGAGGCACCATACAGCCTTATGAAATGGAGACCAGGGAGATCAAGAAGCCCCCTACTTCCTGCTTGTTCCTCCACATCACACCACAGCCATCTGTTGCAGGAAGGAGATGGCGGTGGCGGTGAGACATAGCACCCTGCAGCTGGGAACAGTAAACTGATTTTTCTGTTAGGATGTGGTGGATGTGGTGGCCCACAGAGGTCATCGGAGGTAACAGGCTGATCTTTAGGGGAAGGTGACCCCAGCAGTGGATGAGGATGACAGCAAAGACTTTCCTGGTCTTGAGGTGTGGCGGGGGATCGTTTATCATGATGTCATCCCAGGGAACACGAAGGAGGATAAATAGTTATAGCTTGTCCAGGGCTGCAGCAAACCGCGTAAGCCTAGTTTCACAGTACTGACTAATCTGCTAGTACTGACTAATCTGCTTGAAAGAGTACATCATCGGTTATGTCTGTTTTTTAAATTATATATATATTATGTGATCCCCTAACTCTAATTCGGACAGCTGGCCTTCCACCCCGGAGGAGGGAGTCCCTTTTTGTGTGCGAGCATATGCACACAGAGAAATCAGCACAGATCATGCTGCATTCAGTGGAGTAGGGGAAACCAGCGATGATTTTCTTCATTTAGCTCTCCTTTGGGAGTTTGTCCCTCTGATCCTGCTTCCATGCTGGGGGCTCAGCGGGAGCTCAGACACTGCTCCAAAGATACTGCCAAGCGGCTAGTGATCGCTTTGCCTCAGAAGAGGCTGGGCTTCCTGTCTTGTCTTTCCAACAGGGGCCCTCTCTTCATCTCTCAGGGAAGGACTGTGAGGTTCAAGAAAGGCTTTGCCCCAGGCTCTATCCCTTTCTATTGTATGGGGTCCATATGGGGCAGCTAGAGCTGTGTTTTCCCTGGAGGTCGCAGGCCGGGATATGAACAGGGATTGCGTTGGGAGGGGCTTGTTATAGAGGGGGAACCAGGAGGAGAGAGCAGGCCCCAAAGGCCCCTTCCTGCACTGTCTGCTGTTGACAGCATCTGGGCCGTGTCTAGACAGGAGAGACAGATCTTTCCTTGTGCCCTTCTCTGCCTACCTCGCTCCCCGAAGCCTGCAGGCGTGCCAGTCAAAGGGGAAGCGGAGCACGCGTTGCCACCTGTCCAGGTTTTCCTAGGATCATCCCTTTTTTGAAGTAGCTCTCCCGGATGAAACGGTTCAGATGTCCTGGGTTTTTGTACCTCAGAGGTGACAACCCTATGCGGCGCTGAGGGGACAATCCCCCCCAAAAGGCACAGGCAGCTCTGGGACACAGCTGGGAGTTAGATGGACACATTATAGCGCTGAATTATGAGTCCGGAATTTGATAAAGTGGAGAGAGCTTCCCTGCAGCAGGGAGGGCCCGGGGAAAAGCTCGACGCTGGGGAGGCAGATAAAACTGGAGGGAACTTCACGGGGGCAGGGCATTTCCTACTGCCAGTGACTTACAGCGCTGGCTCTAACCTGAAATACCCAGATCTGTGGGTCTTAGCACGATGCAGAAAGTGGTTGTAAAGAGATCACTTTCGACACTGCTGTTTGCTTGGTGACGCTGGCAGCCGAAAGTGCAAGAGGTTACCCTCAGCAGCAGCTTGCCAGATGCCTAAAGCTTACGACAGGCTCAGCCAAAGAGCGACAATATTTATCACCTTGAATCAGTTTATTAAAGCCAGTGCTGGCATGCAAGGAAACCAGAAAATACAAAGTGGCTGAGCCGAGGCTGCCCTGTTCTCCTTTTTTCAGGCAGAAAAGCAGCTTGATTTCAATGACAGAAAAATAACCTTGGGCCAAATTCCCACAGGTGTGTCCCCACTACAGCCGAAGCACCCGCTTAGGCTGAGTCTGAATTTGGCCTGTTGCTTTCTGCGATTTGGCAAGCGTAGCACTATCTGTTAGTATCCGACCGCGGGCGGGGGAGTAGTGGGAGCAGTCTGAAAGGCTTGTAAACCTAGATCTAATCACTCCCACCCACACGGATTAACACATGACAGAAAAGTATAAAAGATTTTATTTGCAAATGCTGCAGTCACTCGCCCAGGCAGGGACTACAGTCCCAGGAGGGCTATGTGTGGATAGTCTCCATCACTGCTTAACTGGAAGAAAGAAATGGGGGTGCAGGACTTCATTGCATTGAGGGGAGCTCTCTCTCCTCTCTGGATTCTTCTAAACCAAAGGATACAGCTGAAGAGGGCAATTTTTATTTATATATATTTTTGCTTCTAAGTGCACCAGGTTGCACTAAGTGGCATGGCTTTTCATTAAAAAATGTGAAGTGGGGAGGACCACTGGCCTCACTTGCAAGGGAGTGTTCCCATCCACCCGCTCTGCAAATGATCCCGTGCAAATACCAGCCTCTGACAACACACAGCATTGCCATATGCCCCCACTTAAACCCCAGGCACTCTGCAGGCTTTAAGTCAGGACAGAACAAGTCCGACAACGTGTCAAGTTTTCCTAGCAATCTAGTTCTAACAGGGGCAACAGCAGCCTCCTGCACAGGGGGGAAAAATGCACCGTGGGTACTTTTCTATTGGGTCACACGTTGGACCAAGCAGAGAAAACCTGAAAAGCTTTGCTAATGTCACGGGAGACCTCGACGGCCTGTTCCCGCAGCCTCATCTCGACTCCTTCTCCGACAGGCTAATAAATATATACCTCTGTCTTAGATTTATTCCAGACCCTCTGTTTGACATCTGGCTACAAGATGGTGGCACTGAAATGTGCAATAATGATATAGGGATTTAAAAAAAAAAAAGAAGTGGAGAGAGCAGGGAAAACCAAAATTAAAATAAGTGGAAGGGCGGAAATTCTTTTGCAAAGGCCTTAAGGCTTCTACAAAGCATGCCTGCATGAGCCGTGCCTCCAGCTTACCCGATGTCAACCTTATGTCTGAGGGGACAGAAGATCTTACCAAGCATTCCAGAGGTGTCTCTCAGTGAACCAAAGTCTTCAGAATGTATCCAGCCAAACAAGAAACTGGTTCATAAAGGCGCAAAACATTCCTTCTCTTAGCACCAGAGGGAGGGATCTTGTCCAACTCAAATTCTAAAGCGAAGCGCCAATGTTTTCCTTGTTATGTTCTGTTTGCTGCATACCTCTCCCCCACTGTGACTGCTATTTGACCTGCTGTCCGCTCAGAGACCCTGAGGGGAGGGGTGTGTGTGTGTGCGGGGAGGGGAAGGGTGAGTCTCGTGGTGGTATTTGACTTGTTCATAGGCATTAGAAAGAAACAGACAGCACTGAGTGTGCAGGGAAGGAGCAGGTCCATCAACTGGCAGGGATGGGGGGTTCGGCCTAGTCTGTGGGAATGCCTCTTTCACCTCCTCTTTTAATGGGCATGTTACTAATGGAACCGCAAAACAAAGTTTTAATTTAAGGGTAGACACCCAGCAGGGAAGCCCCCTTCCACCAATTCTGTTTGTTCTTACAGCTGCAAGGCTGGCATGCCTGATCATGGATAATGAGAACATACACAGGATTAGACGGGGAGAGGAGGAGGAGGGCAGCATTCCCCCTCACCCCAAATGGGTCTCAGTACAGATGGTACCTTTGTATTCCTGGCAGATCCCTGGAAGGGCTCTCCCATGAACTAACTAGAGCTCTTGACAAATTCTCCCACTTCTCAGAAAATAAATAGACCTCCAAGAGCCCACTAGGGGAGCAACCTCTCCACAGAGCCGCAGCTATCTCGGGAATCAATACAAAACCCCATGGGCGGAAGCCGTTTCAAAGCAGCTGCCATCATAAAGCTTGTAGATCCTGACCTCAGGAGGAAAGCAGCGTTACAGGTAAATGTCCAAGAGCTAGGGAAGTTGGATCCCATCATGGCAATAATGATCCCCAAACTCCTGAGCCTGCAAAGGGATCTACTCTGGTGGAATCCTCTTTACTTCTCTGGGACTCTATGTAGGCAAAAGAGTCTGCATGGATCGATTTCTTTGCAGAATCGGCCTCTCAAGCCCGATCAACACTAAATTTAAAGTTAAGTTGACCCAGTTACGTCACCCAGGGATGTGAAAAATCCAGTGTTGCAGTGTAGTTCAGGCAACGTAACCCGCATTGTAGACCGTGCTAGATCGATGGAAGAATTCTAGCTCCTGCCTCTTGGGGAGGTGGATTATCTATCCCAACAGGAGAATGCTTCCTGTCAACATAGGCAGTGTCTACATTGAAGCGCTACAGTGGTGCAGCTGTGCCACTGTAGAATTCAAGGGCTGGTCTGCACTTAGGTCAGTGGGGCTTCCCGCAGCTCCCATTGGCCAAGAACAGAGAACCGCAGCCACTGGGAGTTGCAGTGGGCTGTGCCTGCAGACGGTCAATGTGAGCAAAATGTCTCGCGGTCTGCCATCAGATGACCCTGATGGGCCGCATGCGGCCGACGGACTGCCCACCACTGCCGAAGGTTGTGCAATTGGCAAAATCCATTCATTGATGAATCTACGCAGATGTACACCAGCCAAGGAAGACCCTCAGATTTTGAGTATCACCAAATCTCGTTCTTTGCTCTCCATGCTACACAATAGAACAACGAGAACATCCAAATGCAAAAATCCACTTCCAGCTTTTCCAACGAAACACCGATCTCCTCTAGAAACAGATGTTTTATTATGTGGATTCTTCCTCTTGTCTCTACATTTTTGCAAGTAACCTCTCAGTCTGTAAGCAAACACCACTTTGCTCCCACCATTTTGAGGACTGCAAAGCACTTGACAAACATTAAGGAACAGAGCCTCACAACAGTGAGATCAGGAAATATTGGTATCCCTGCTTTGCGGATCGAGAAGCTGAAGCACAGAGAGTGAAGTGGCTTGCCCCGGGGTCCCACACAAAATCTGAGGCAGAGTTGCAAACGGAAGGCAGGAATCCTAACTCACACTCCTGTGCTTTAGCCACAAGACTGTCCTTAAAGCACTTGTCTTGAGGCGCTCGCATATCACACCTGCGGCCAATCTTTGCTGCAGTTAAGATTAATTCCTCCCTCGGTTGTGTTCTCTTATGTTTAATACGTGGTAATTCGCCCAGAGCTGCACATTGGATCGGTCATGGGGATATGTTGCTGCACTACACTGGTTGTTAAAGAAACTGTATTGTACAAAAAAAAAACCCCCAAGAATAATAAAAAATGAACGTTTAGTTGGGAATTCTACCTCACGGCTTCCTCCCTTTTTCAGCTCATTTAGGGCTTGAGCCAGCTGTCACATAAGACATTGGAAAGATCCCCATTGATTTCAATGGGTGTTAGATCAGGCCCTTCCCACCTTCACGTTTCATGTCCATGCGTTACATCCCTTCTGCTTTTTGGAACATATTCCATTTACTTCTCCGTGGGGGTTGACCAATGGGATTTCTCGGCAAAAGGACTGCTTGGGTGAATAAGGGTGTGCCGAGGAAGGCCCTAAGGTTAGTTTGTTTCCAAGCCAACACTGGCTAAATGAGTGGAAATCTAGGGATTATTGCTAAAAGGAAATTATATTTCACCCTAAATGAACAAAAATAGTCAGAAAGACCATTACTTTCTGTACATGATTTCAGTGGCAAGTGGGACCTTCCACTATTCAGTCTGAGCCTCCCAGTTCAGCAATAAAGACTTGCTATGGCTAGCGTTGTCCTTCCACACGCAGGCTTCTTGAGTGGTCCCTCAACGGACCAGCTGTTTACTCCTTTCCAAAGATGCCGAAGGAATTAGAGGAACAATCGGCTTCAATGGTTGTAAAGTACAGCCACCCAATGCAGTGAGGGGGGAAAAAGTGGGATCCCAATAAACACCCTTAACTAGTAACCCTGCAAAGCCATTTTTAAAATTCTCATTCAATAAGCTGATCTGAAATCAACACTAGTTGCTCTTCCTGTTAGCAGAGTGGGGAGGGATGTGCTGCGCCCTGGTTGGAGCAGCCTAAGGGTACAATTAAATCTTAAAACTATGAGCAGATTTAACAATCAGACTCTAAAGAATTAAACATTGTACAAACATCTCAACATTTTTGTTGTTCCTCCCAAAAGTCCAGTCTAGCCATGCGGTCCTGTGCAAAGGTCATGTTGCTATGGATATGACCTGCAAGAAATTGGTTGCCTGAGAGCAGCACAAGTCACGCGAGCAAGGCAGGCTAAAAGCCAAGACCGTTGATTCACAATCTTGTCAGGATTTTGCTGCTTGTGTTGGCTTCACTTTAGAATGAGTCTAAGTATGGCCAGGTCTATGTTCGCCCTTTAAACGTGTTCATACAGGTGTAGCTTCCAGAAAACTTGTGGATTTCTTCAAGTGCTGACCGAGGGAGAATGCTGCAGAGGAAGCAAAGGGAAAGGAAATAAACACACCGTGCAACCTTTTCATCTCTTCTAATGAGAAGACGTGCAAACACACACACACACACACAAGATGGGGTGACTACTGTGGCATGGGGCAGTAATTTTGCAGTCAGAAATACCAAGGGTCCAGTCTTGCAAGTTGCTATGTTTCCAACAACTTCGGTGGGATCTGAAGTTGATCTGAACCTGGCATGACTGGCCCTAAGGGAGAAAGTGCTACAGAGTTTCCTCCTACTAAGAGAGAGCTTACTAAACAGGACCTGGTAGAACAATGTAACCTGTAAGAAGGCATCATTCCTAGCTTCTGTTTCCCAGAAGCTGGGAATGGGCAACAGAGGATGGATCACTTGATTACCTGTTCTGTTCATTCCCTCTGGTGCAACTGGCATTGGCAGAAGACAAGATACTGGTCTAAATGAACCCTGGTCCTACCCAGTACGGCCATTCTTATGTTCTTATCTACGTCTCTTAAATTGCAAGATTCTGTTCAATGTTATAAATCTTGAGAATTTATATTGAGAATCAATCTATATATTTATCTTGAATACCCATCTATCTGTTTAGGTATTTACCTTTTTCATCACATGGTCCTGGTATGAATGAAGTGCTATTTTCCTGTTTTCTATTGCGATGACAAGCTAAGGCCTGGTCCCCACTAAGCCCCCACTTCGGACTAAGGTACGCAAATTCAGCTACGTTAATAACGTAGCTGAATTCGAAGTACCTTAGTCCGAACTTACCGCGGGTCCAGACGCGGCAGGAAGGCTCCCCCGTCGATGGCGAGCTGGAGTACCGGCGTCGACGGCGAGCACTTCCGGGATCGATCTGGGATCGATTTATCGCGTCTTAACCAGACGCGATAAATCGATCCCACAACATCGATTGCCTGCCGCCGGACCCTCCGGTAAGTGAAGACGTACCCTAAGTGAATAATTCATAACAAATAATATATTTGACAGATGCCCATTCTTTTTCTGATTGTAATGTGTCCATGAACTGATCAAGATTTTCTCAGATTTATTTGGTATTCAAAGTTATTTAACATATGTTGAGAATTTTGTTCACTTTTGTTTCCTATCTGAAATCTGGGATGTGTCATTTAGTTGAGATTGGTGACATAAGTCACATGGCATTGTTTCAGTTCTGTGATTGGATGAGCTCTATTTTTAGATGGTTTCTGGTCTCAGTGCTCACAGAAAATAAATTTAAAATGTGCTGTCCTCAATTATTTCAGTGAGCTAGACTAGGATTCCCTTTCTGCACACAGTTTCAAGTTCCCTTAAAAAAGTGATCACATAAAAATAATTTTGGTTTACATTTTTATGTTCTCATAGCTTTACAGAAAGAGTGGTCTCTAAATAGAAATGAGAAGTGTATATTTTATACGTTTTGTAGTTCCTGGAGCCTGGAGACGGGCTTACTAAATAAAAATCAAATCGATAAATGAGTTAATAAGTAAGCCATTTCCTGGAAATGGATGGTCAGTACAGATCTCAGGGATCTGTGAGTTTTGAGGGCTGAAACTGCTTCCTCATTGCGGGGGCGCATACTCAGATGTAACAAGCTTAAGACAGCTCTACAAACGGAACCTTGCCAAGTTTTCTCCCCATCCTTGATGCCCTCTGGCTTCTGTGGGAGGGGACAATCTGGTCCTAGGTAATTACTGTATTGTGCGACTGCCAAATTGAGATTTGGCTTAGCAGACAGAAAACGAGACTGCCTCCCATCCCTGCCCAAAGGGTAAAATGAGTGGGTCAGGCAGCCACACACAAGTGAAATATTTACCTTTTCAAGATGACAAGTACATGCATTGTCCACGGAAGGAGGAGGAAGGCTTGGTTCAGCTGAACAGCTTCTACTGTTCTCCTGGCCACTGTCTCTGGCTTCAGTGGGGGGAAAAGATTGGGGAACCTGAATGAAGAAATTAAGAAGTAAACTCATTACCTAATTAGGGTGCAGTACAATCCCAGTCCTTGGGCTCTCTGAGCTGCTGCTGGCATTCAACTACCCCACAAAACTGGCAGGGAGGAGCAGAGAGAGGATGAGACCCTGATCCTCTCACTCACTACCCAAACCAGCAAAGCTGGGCTGGCACCAAGGCTGAGGGGAGCATATGCTGCATCCTATAAGAGGGCATAACAGGGGCCACTCCCTCCTCTTCCTCTCTCCTGCCTTTTTCTTGGATTAAATTACTGGCAGTGAAAGACAAAAACCAGATGCTCCCCACGCCTCTTAATACCAGGAACATGGATTTCCAGCTGCCAACGGTGACGTCACATTGCACCATTCATCACGGCGGAGGGTGCACAAACCATGTTAGCAGTTCATATCAAGAGATACAGATCCACCACTGGCAAAGGGTTAATTTGGCTAGTCATTAGCCCCTTGAGTATGGTTAACGTTCATAGGAACAGGCATGGGTCCAGTGCTCTCCTCACCACTGTCAGCGGAACTTTTTGCCATTCATTTCAGTGGGGGAGGATTGAGCCCCTCAATAGGAATAAAGAAGGAACTAGGAACTTGTCGTGTGGATTCCCAGTTTGTAGGACTATTCACCCCTTTGAACAACCTCAGACATCAGTTTGGTTGCTCTGCTCTGATGGCCACAGCTGGCTCCTAGTTCAAAGTCACTTCTAATTTTCTCTCTAGAAACAACTGCCTGGAAGACACCCTCCCAGAGGAAAGGCAAGTTGAAGTGTACACGTTGGGGGTGTACCAGCAAATCACAAGAACCAGCCTGATGGTTTCAGGAGGCAGAGAGTGACCCCTCTGATCACAGCCAGATCAGACATCAAATTCTCTTTAAAAAAAATCCAGGCGTTAACGAACATGTTCAGTTGATTAATTTCAGTGAGATGTTTTACCACCCAGTCTCTCTTGGACTGACCTTATTCTCATGCCCTGAAACATCTCTGTGCTGGTGTGGAACGGCAGGACTGTCGTAGCGTTCACTCCAGGACAGTCCAGCAAGCCCAAGGTCAGGCTCTCCATAAAGGCAAAGGAAGAGGCTTTGGAGGTGCAGTAGTCAATGGCACCAGGGATGGCTGACAAGGCCAAGACAGAGTTCAAGCAAACAATGTGCCCATTCTGCAGCTCCAGCATGCGTGGCAGGAAGGCCTTGGTGGTCTGTAAAGGAACAGAGAGAGAGAGAGAGAGAAAACTTCATTAAGCAGAGACACAACAGAAATGGTAGCCACTAAGAAAACAAACCTAGTGATGCAGGGCCCAATTGTGCTTTCAGTTGTGCAGGGGTATGCGGAGTAATTCCATTCAAACGTCATGATTCATGCCCAGCTTCATAGTGAAGGGAGCTTCACTGCTCTGTGAGGGGTTCCAAAAAGCCTCAGTTAACCTGATTTCATGTGAACCAAACCAAACCTGCGCTATCACAAGACTAAGCCGTGCGCAAAATAAAAGGCCATGAAGATCATGCCCTGATCTGCTCAGATGCACATTATTTAGGATAAAGACTTCAACATGGAGAGGAACACCACAAATATATTATTTTTTAACTGATCTAATCAGAAACGGAATGAGTTTAATGCAAGCTCTCTTCCATGAACAATGCAGCCATGCATCTGGTCATGTTTCTCTCATGTTCCAGATGTGCATCAAACCGAGAAACTCTCCTTTTGTGCCCCTGGGATTTCTCAAAGGAAATCAGAGTTTTTCTTGTAAGTCACAGGGTGGGTTTAAAAGAGCATCAGAGACTTTATAATTACTGGAAGCCTTTAATATGATATTTTAGCAGAAGTAACTGAAATCAATTTGAGGGAATCTGTCAAACTCAATTTTTTCCTCAGACTTCTCTCCTCTGGCCTTTGCCTTTCACATTGTTTTTCCTGGCTCGTTTTCATGTCAGGCTGATCTTACCAAGCATTGTTTGGAAAAGTCTAGCAGCAGCCAAGTGTTTACTGGCTGTAATTTGTCACTCTCATTTCCAAGTCTGAATACGCTGGATACAGGAGCTTATCTTACCCAGAACTGTCCCAGGGTATTTATGTGTTGTGATTTGAGTAGAGCATCGTCATCGCTGTCCATCAAGCTCTTGCCATGAACGACAGCAGCATTGTTCACTAGGATGGTGATATCACCCACCTGCAAAAAGAAAAAGGGGGGTAGCTGATTGGTTACAGTGAACATCTCTTTTCACAAGTACAGCGGTCACTTTGGTCCTTCTACTGAAGTGTGAATCCATGGCCTCTTCTGAGGCTACGTCTACACTACCCGCCTGAATCGGCGGGTAGAAATCGATCTCTCGGGGATCGATTTATCGCGTCTTGTCGGGACGCGACAGTCGATCCCCGAATCGACGCTTGTGCTCCACCAGCGGAGGTAGGAGTAAGCGCCGTTGACGGGGGAGGTCGATTTGCCGCCGTCCTCACAGCGGGGTAAGTCGGTTCCGATACGTCAAATTTTTGCGTATCTTAAATCACACCCCCTCCCCCTCCCCCGTAGTGAGGACGTAGCCTGCGTTCCTGCCATAAGGGGCGTTGTAATGGTTACTGCAATGTACCCCCAGGTAGCTTAAAGTAGCTGAAGCACAGGTACTTAACGTTTGCACAAATGAGTTCTCCGTGGTTCTTCTTTCTAGGCAGTTTCCTAGCATGTTGTTTGGCTACTAATGAAATTCTACACCGTTTTGAAACAAAGCCAAAGTGGTGTAAAACATTTATCCCTACAAAGAGATACTCTAAAGAAGAAAGGCAGCTGGACAGACGGCCAGAAGCACGAGAAGGACTAGCGACAGATGTATAGTTAAAAGAAGCTCCCCGAAAATCAACAGCCAGTTGCCTTTGTTGGGCTATTATTAGGATTCTCTTATATATTATTATAACTTGCATTTTATAATTCAGGCTCACTCCTATATTATCACCTAGATCGGGGGTTCTCAAACTGGGGGTCGTGACCCTTCCAGGGGTTGCGAGGTTATTACCGGGGGGGAGGGGGGTCGCAAGCTGTCAGCCTCCAATCCAAACCCCTCTTCTCCTCCAGCATTTATAATAGTGTTAAATGTAAAAAAGGTTTTTTTAATTGATAAAGGGGGTCGCACTCAAAGGCTTGCTGTGTGAAAGGGATCACCAATGCTAAAGTTTGAGAACCACTGACCTAGATATTTCAAGCAAAGAGAAGCTGGCTCCGGGATGGGATATTTGCTCTTTCACAGTTATTTAGCTCTGCTCCTTCCATACTAAGCTTCTTGATACAGAGTCAGGATCCAGCATAAAACCTACCAGGACTGATTCTCTGCTGTCTTTACACTTTGTGCAAATATTTCCTCTGTACAAAATTGGTGTCAAATGGACACCCGGTGTGAGTGGGTAGAGAACTCTGATTTGGTAGCACTCCATAACTTCTTTGCCTAGATATAAATGTCAAAGGAAGGTCGCATGGCATTGGAGAATCAGGCCCTTTATTCCCTACCATAAAAGCAAGAAACAGACAGGGCCAGGTCTTTGAGACATAGCCAGAGGCAGAATGTAGAGCTTCCCTTCTTCCTAAGTTGCCAGAGAATGTTTCCTACTTGCCACTGGTTAGGGGATTTTCTAAGCTCTGCCCATCACTGGATCCACCACACAGACCAACCTTTTCCCGGACAGCTTTGGCTTGCTGATAGACTTCCTCTCGATTTCCCACATCGCAAATGAAGTAATGGCACTCTGTTCCCATCATTCTAATCTCCTCTGTGGTTTCCTTAAGGCACTTCTCGGTTCGACCCCACAGGATGATCTGCAGCAAGAAACATTTGCTCAAGTAAAATTGTTCCTGTTTTGAATCTACCGTAATTAAAATCTGTTTCTAACTTGAACAATTCGACATGGATCATTAATTGCATTTGCAGTGCCAGTTCTGTCACATTGTTTCATTTAGGGCCGCGCTGATTTTTAAACGAAAATATTTATGTAACACATGGGTCTAGGGAACTACGGTGGTGGTGGTGGCCAGAGTGAAGTGATTCCATTGTGATGGTGACTGATGCACAACATCCAGGTGAAGGCTTTTTATTTGCAACCTGTGTAACAGCCGACACTGAAAATCTGAACTCTGGGCCGAATGATTGGCCAGTGGCATAAGGCGATCATTAAACAAGCCAGGCACATGGGCAATTAAAACAAACAAACCATCAAAACAAACACAGTTTCTCTGATCGAATCCTAATTTTGTCATGCAGACGTGGGGTGGAACTCAGGAAAGTGGGTTAGGTTTAACCCTAAAAATATTGACCCTATATATACACACTGCATATTACACTACACTTTGTTAGAGCTTCTGCTCCCTAGTAAGGTAAAATACAGTTTAGTCAACACATGGAAAGTAACAGTTTAGAAGACTGACATTATAAGCTATTATTCCAGGTCAGTGGTTTTCAAACTGGGGTATGTCAGTCTCGTCAGGGGATACATGAGAAAAATTCGGAAATGGCGGACAATGCATTTTATTTAGTAAGACTTGGCAATCTAATCATAGGTATATTGACAGGTTTCAGAGTAGCAGCCGTGTTAGTCTGTATCCGCAAAAAAGAAGAACAGGAGTACTTGTGGCACCTTAGAGACTAACAAATGATGCTCTAATAAATTTGTTAGTCTCTAAGGTGCCACAAGTACTCCTGTTCTTCATAGGTATATTATGACTCTATCTCAGATGGGGGTACGCAGTAGACTACATTATTTGGAAAGAGGTATCCAGCCTAAAAAGTTTGAAAACCACTATTCTAGGTGAATTCCCAATGCAAGAGAATGAAGGAGGAGAAGCCAAAACTATACTAAAGAGGAGGAAATTAAGCAAGAAGCTCATTATAAAACAATGTTGTGGTTTTCAGTTAAACCCACAAGAGCAAGGACACTCACCATTTCGTGAGTTCAATAGGCTTTTTGTCTAAGTAAGGCCACAGATTCAAGCCCTAAGATTCCTAAACCAACTTTGTCTCAGACTTGCTGTCCAGGGGACATTGCAGCACCTATGACATATGCTCAGAATAATGGGTCAGCGTCTGCAATGGCGCTGTGGGAACTCTAAACACACATCAACAAGGACATTTGAAGTCAGAAACCGCAATTGTTACCTTGCTTTGTTTTACAGTCAATACATGCAAGCTCTCATTCAGCATTTATTTAACAAGCTGAGAACAACACTCAGGATAGAAAGCTTCTTGTAACAAGAATTAGAACAATTCTTAATGGCCACCTGACCAAGAAATTCAGCTTGTCCAGCACAAAATTGGTTTATAATGAAGACGTAAGTGGAGCCACCATGTTCTACATTTTAGTGGCCCACAGCAGTTAGAGATGGAAAGGTCCTCAAGCAAGGTTCATCTTCTTCCAGCTAGAATGTACTCTGCAACACGTTTTCTTGTGACTCACACAGTCTAGTTTTACAATGTCTTGAGTGAACAATGAAGCTTTCACCACTTCCCGTGGTGCATTAAGTCCACGGTCTAATAGATTTAACTGACAGGCAGATTTCCCCCCCCTGCCCCCGAAACACACCATCAATTTCCCCTTTCTGGAAAGCCCTTAAGAAGTATTTCTGCTTCCCCAAATTCTAAGACTCTTGCCCATGAACCAATCCACCTCCTCTGCTCTCTAACAGTTACAAAAAAACTTCCTAGCCTCCATATCCAGGGCCGTCCCTAGGAGGATGCAGGACCCGGGACAAATCAGCCCCCGCCGGCTTTGGGGCCCTGCTCTGCATCGGTGACTGGGCTGGCGGGATGAATCCGGCCTGGTGCTAGGCTGCCTGCTGCTGCTGGCAGTTGCCAGCACCCACCGCGGGGCTACCATTGGCCATAGCGCCACGGCGGAGGGGGCAGGGGACTCGCTGCACCAAAACGTGGACGGCTGAGCCGGGCGTGGGGTGGCTCGGGGTGGCAGCCGGGACCCAGGGCACAATGGTTTGGCAGCCCGGACCCCAGGGGTGCTGCAGCATCCCGTGCACCCCTAGTTCCCGCACCTATGTCTTCTGGGACCAATGGCACCAGCCCCCAGGGCCCCCCAAAGTGTGGGGCCTGGAGCAGTCGCCCTGATTCGCCCTACCCAAGGGACGCTCTGTCCATATCACCACGAGCCCTCAGAAATGTATCATTTTACAAAAGTGAAATTACAGGACAGCGTGTATCCCTACAGACTTTAATTGCACTGCCCTCCCCATGAGCCAGTAGGCAAAGCAGGAAAAAGAAGAGAAAAATCTGTAGGTTGCTTATGCTCACAAGTACAGTTCTCACCACACAGAAATCCCCACAGAAGAAACATTCTTAATTCAAATTATTATTCAGGATTAAGGGATCAACACAGCTAAAACAACATGGCATAACCAGGATTAAACCATAGCAGAGAAAAAGAAATTCTCAGGGCCAAATGCTCCTCCTAAGCGGGTTATTCTGCATAGGCGATTGGAAAATTGGGCTCATAACAGGAAAGGCTTTTAGCCTTCATGATGGTGTCATTTCAGAGCAATTTACTAATGCTGGTAGAAAAATCTTCTGAAATAAAGACCTTACGTGACTGTGTGACTCAAGCTTTCGGACACTGCACTTAGTGTGAACTGATTGGTATATTGTATTTTTTTAAAAAAGGATTAAAGAAGTAGTACATTTCATCTTTAGAATGTTAGCGATCTGTGCCTTTTGGGTAACCGAGTGCTGAAAGACAAAAAGGTCCAGAGACCGAATTACATAACTGCCCGTAACGCAACCCCCAGAGTCAACCGGATGACAGCACAAGACGACAGGGCAGTCAGCATTCCCTGACCACAATAAAGCTCTTGAGGAAAGTTTCCTCGCTAGACAAGATGAGCCACTTCATTATCAGCACAGGGCTTGAGTCTTATTTACACTGCTGCGGCAGCACAAAGGACACTTGAAGTGCAGTGGAACATGGATAAAAATGGAGTGTACAGCCAACTTCCTTAACGGGTTAAAGAGGGATAGCTCAGTGGTTTGAGCATTGGCCTGCTAAACCCAGGGTTGTGAGTTCAATCCTTGAGGGGGCCATTTAGGGATCTGGGGCAAAAATCTGTCTGGGGATTGGTCCTGCTTTGAGCAGGGGGTTGGACTAGATGACCTTCCCGAGGTCCCTTCCAACCCTGGGATTCTATGAATTGAAACCACTGGAGTCTTTCTGTAGCTCTATTTAGACACACACCCAGAAACGCATGTACATCTAGAGATGTAAAGGAGCTTCTGAAAAGACCATTGGCTTCACAATCAAACAAAGAGCTGGTTCGAAGACAGGTCAAGCACCGAGTCTGCCTGTCTCTCTCTTTCACACCCTTTTCATTTTCATTTCTTTCTCTTTTTCATTTGTTCCAAAGGCGTAACCAGAAGATGCAAAAAATGCAAATCTCTCTAGTTAACCCTATTTTGAAGCTGCTCGGAGAAGAAACATACATACGGTCTTGCTGTGATATGCAATGATAAAGCTAAGTGGGCAGACACTCACATTTCACTGGGGTTGTCTCAGGACACCACTCGGGAGGAAAGAAGAGAAGCAGAACTTCAGTACTATGCACGGGGGATAGGATGCATAGAGCTTTTAGAGCAAGCGACATTGGGCCAGAGTCATTTTGCTGGAAACCTTGGCTCATAGAGGAGGTTGTGGGCAAGGAGAAATAGGTCTGCAACTTTAAAATTCTTCAAGAAAATATCCACTACGGCCAAAAGTCTGAACAAATAAATGGCAGAGTGTAGAATACTCCCCTAGCCAGCCCAGCAGCCCCCTGCTTAAAAGCCACCCTTTTAAAAGCTAGCTTTGACAAACCTGTGCTTGCAGGTCTTTATGCTTCACCCTATACCATAATCCCTACCGCCTCCACCAAACTTGCAAAACTGAAGTTAGCCTGTGTTCAGCGTCATCTTGTATTCATAGCTTGACTGGGCGTCACTTCCAATGTCGGCTCTGTAGACTCGAAGAGAAAGTCAGAAGGTGTGAAATTTCACAAGATTTTAAGTTACTGTTGAAGATGTATTTTTAAAAGGGTGGAGGAGGAAGAACAGTGTGACCACAGAGGGAGTGATGAAATATAAAAGGGATAATATAAAATTCTCTGGGCATCTCTCACTTATGTATAAAGAGGGAAACAAAATACAACACTGGTGGCTGCTTATGAAGGCATCAGGCAAAAATCTATGGAATTATGCATTTACAGTCATGGGGAGGTTAGCCTGTTGTTTGCATGGGGACTGCCAGGGTCATGCCCATCGATGCAACTGGTGAAAAAATACAGTACATCAACAAACAAGGTGGAGAGAGTGAGCCAGCCAGATAGGGGGAACCAGACAAGGCAAGAAAATGACCTATCCTCCCCAGCTGTCTGGGCTATCACACGACCGATAGATAACAGGAAACAGATTTCTCTCTCCATTTCCATTCTGCTTGTCAGCATTGCCATCTGTATGAGTCAAATGGGGACAAACTTACACATAATGATGTCAGGAAATACATTGTAAAGAACTGTACGAGCAGGGGACGAGTGTGCCATCGCATTGTGATGCACGCGTGGGAGATGGTAACATTTTGTAAGCCAATAATGGGTATTTTGGCACTTTAAATAGCTTGTGGCTAGTCTTGCAAGATGACTCCATCAAAATGTGGGCTGTTCTGGAGGTATGGGGGGGGTGCGGTACCCCGCCACAGCTCCATTTCCTCCTCCTTTTGTTTTCCCAGTCCATGGCACTGCCCAGACTTAGAGTGTGTTATAGCCTTTGTGGAGGAGAAAAGTAATGGCTACAAGAC